TAATCTTATCTGCAATTTAACTACACCGCTCTAACAGCTGAGAATCCCACAGCTGGAAGTTAGATATTAATAATTGCGAAATTGTTTAAAAACAATTATCGCCCAACAAATTAGCAAAGAAATATTTGTAAATGAGATAAATATACCTCAACAAAACTTCTCTCCAGATATCCTCCAAAGCTTCAAAAACCCCACCTTTGCCTTCAGAATCCTGCGAACTGCAAATAAACACTATTGTAAACCATTCTTTAATTCTGGTATTTGCATGGTACAACAAAACATCCAAATTACAACAGAAAAAATACATGAACTCAATTATTAATTTAATGACTTGCCCAATATAGAAATACCCAAAACCACGGAAATATAAGTAGATTACCACCCAAACGAGAGGAGAAGCAATAATAAACAAATATAATTAAGACAAAAACGGAAAAGATATAAATGCATTGCATCATCCAAAATGCATACATTACTCAAAAGCAGAGAATTAGACTCAAAATTGTACCTTTTCTGATCCCAAGCAGCCCAACTAAGTATAACAACAAAAAAAAGGGGGGAAATTTGGAAATATGGGATAAACAACGACAAATAAAAAAACCAAATTGCAATTAAAGCTCTAAAGTCTACATAAAAGAGAGGGAGAGGTTTTACATACAAATGATCGATGCTGCCTTCAGATTTTTATTAAGGAAAACAAAGGAAAGGGAGAGTAATAATGGCGAAAAGAGGAGGCAGAAGAAAAAAATAAATAGCCGTTTGGTTTCTCTCTCCTGTACTCTCTCTCTCTCTCTCTCTCTCTCTCTGTCTGTCTCTCTGTGGTTTGTGGGTATCTGGGCTTTATTTGTATTTATCAATGCCTCCAATTTTCCAATGGTTTCCTCGAGTTTGTGTTCATTTTGGTCCCCATCTTCGCTTCCCAAGCTCTCTCTCTCTCTTTCTCTCTCTACAGAACAAATGCTACAAGTGTCCACCCCTGTCTCTCTCTCTCCCCCCTCTCTAGACTTGTTTCTCTCTCTTGATTGCTGTGAACGTGAATTTTATTTGGCCTGTTCTGAGGGGAGAGAGAGTCGACAGAAAATGGCAAGTCTTGGAGGAGGGAATTTTAGAGGAGGGTGCTATCGGATTCCGCTCACTCGCGGTGACAGTAACGAGTGAAGGTTTTGGGTAACCGCTGAATAGCAAGCCAAGCAGTCAAATACCCTCCTCCTTAAACCCAAATAAATTAGAATTCGGATCATAATTAGTACATGAAAATAAGTTTAGTTACAGATATCACTAGCTCGGCTTAAAATGGAACCCCAAATACAAGATTAGAGTTTAAAAAAACTATATTCATCAAACAAATTAGGCCTAGTCACTACGTACATCTTGAACTATTTAATATATTGTCCCTTCATAGTTCATACGCTCCTACTTTGATTTTAGCCTGTCTTATCCCCTAAACCATTAAATTGTTTACATTTATCATTTTATCTTATGTACTATTTTGGTCTCACCTCAGGCCCTATTCTGAATTATGAAATTTAGTGCTATAAATTGCTTTTTATAAATACAAATACTAAACCATTGGTGATTATTTAAAAATTTTGAGTATGAGAAAATTGGGATGCATATCTTTATCAGTCAGTGAGGGGATGTCTCTGTTGTACCAACCATCTAGTATTAGCCCAAGGAAGGAATGATGTTTTTTGTACATTATGGAGATTTGTCATTTGCTGTGGATTTTATTTCCATTCGCATTTGGGAATTTATAGCTGGGCGCATAAAATTAGTACAAAATAAAGGTTAGCAATGCTAATACAATAATTTTGTGACAGATGTACCATAAAGATGATGAAGATTCACAGATGATTGCAACAAATCTCATTAAAAAAATTCGCTTTTTTTGGGATGATATATAGGGATTATTGCTCTCGATCTTATTTTTATTTAGCTATTAGTAACGAGTAGGGTTGTCCAAAACAGCCCGCGGTCTGGGCCCGGCCTCGGCCAGGAAACCCGGGCCAAGTCTGGGCTCCGGCCCGGGCCCGCTTTTTTTGGGATGATATATAGGGATTATTGCTCTCGATCTTATTTTTATTTAGCTATTAGTAACGAGTAGGGTTGTCCAAAACAGCCCGCGGTCTGGGCCCGGCCTCGGCCAGGAAACCCGGGCCAAGTCTGGGCTCCGGCCCGGGCCCGGCCCGGAATAGTTGTTTTTTTTATTTTTTATTTTTTATTTTTTATTTTTATGTATTATATTATATATGTATATATAAATATATATAATATGTATAATATATGTATATATAATATATTTATATATATGTATAATATATGTATATATAACATATTTCTATATATGTATAATATGTCATATGTGTGTATATATATACTCTCTCTTAGTATATAAGTATATATAAGTATACTCTCTCTTATATAGCAACGATGTAGTGTAATATTGTAGATACTCTCTGTTAGTATATATTACATATATGAAAATATACTCTTTTCTGTATGGTAAACTCCTTGTATATATTTATATATGTATAAATGTCAGTATGTTATTGGTATCATATTATACTTCTCTTGATATATAAGTATATATATGTATAAGATAGTAATAAGTCATACATTGTTATTTATACGTATAGCTAATACATATATATAATATATAATTATATATATATATATACTATATCAGATATGTTATATCATGGGAAAGTGTATATCTAAGTTGACCCTTAGGCTGCCCCCTAAGACGCGGCCTAAATCACTCACTTCCTAATATTTTTACATCAGTTCCGTTGAATTGATCTACATGTTCTAACTCAACACACCAATTTTGGTTGAACCGTCGTGTTATGACCATCGGTTGAGTCGTTCCAAAAATTCTATTCATTCAAACCGTTAAAATTACAGCGACGTAGGATGAAAATGGGTCAAAAACACGACGGGAATTCACCCAAAACTTGGGTTGTTTAGGTTTGAAGAACGCTGTAGATCAAGTTCAACGAGTAGATCGTAAAAAATATTATAGGAGATGATGGATTTCTAGCCGCGGTCCTGTTAGTGTGATCCGTAGGGTGTCACCTATAATCACTATTTCCTATACCTAGCTATACTAGTCAGTCATATATATATAACTATATGATTATATGTAATAGATTATATATATTATACAGTATATATTACTTATATCCAAGAATACTATACTGCATATAGTATGCTATAATGTATGTATGTCATATATTATCTACCTCTCTTCTTAGATAAGGATATGATATATATAAGTATACCTCTCTTAATATATGTATACTCTCTTCTATATAAGTATATATTGTATACACTCTCATTATATAATTATGTATATAGTGCACTATATATATATATATATATATACTCTTTATGTGGTTCGTATCATATTATATATAAGTGTACGTTCTCTGATATACTGATGTGATACGTCTATTAATATAAGTATACTCTCTCTATCATATGTGTGTGTGTATACTCTCTCTCCTTAGATAATACTACAGTATAGTTATATCAGACGGTTACTCTCACCATGCCAAGACGGAGCAACGGCTACAGAGGTTACTTCTGCTTCTCTCTCTCTCTTTAAATTATAACTTATAATGGTATACAATAATTTACATATAATTATCGTGTTATAATATATTTTTTTTTATTGTTAATAATAATTTAGAAGTATAATACTATCATAATTCTATATAAGAATAATAATAATATTAAACTTCTTTTTAGCTTTTTTTATAAAAAACAAAAGAAATTTAAAAACACCTAGGTTGGAGGTGTACTATAGAATCTATTGTGATGCGATGAATTCCAAAATAAATTTATACTTGTAATTTGTAAATGATTTATTAATTATTAATAAAAAATTTATTTTTATAATTTTTTATTTGTAATTTATGTTATTTTAAGTGATTAATAAAATTATTATTTTACTATTATTTTTTTGTCTTTTTTATAATTTAAAACTTAAATAAAATTTAAAAATTTGGAAAAAAAAATTAAAAAAAAAAGAAAAAACCCGGGCCGGCCTGGAACCCGGCCCGGTCGGGCCCGGGTCCGGGCTCCGGTTTTGCCCGGCCCGGGCCCGGATTTCCGGGCCGGGCCAGGCCGGCCCGGCCCGGATGGACAGGCCTAGTAACGAGTATGGACATGAATATAAACTTGGTTTCCTTAGAAAAATGTGCAGCTTGTATCTGTTAGAATCACGCACGAATCAAACAAGGGAAAATATATAAAGGCCCAAAACATGCATGCGAGGACGTCGATAGATTTATAAAGAATATAATTAAGGAGGTGCGGGAGTTTCTTAAATAAAAAATAAATTTTTTGGAGAGTAAATCAATTCATTTGTTCCAGTATATCTAAAAAAACTAAGGTGGGATACCGGATCACCAAAAATGATACTAGATTTAGTAATCTAATCCAAAATAATCCCAATCCTGCTATTGGTACATGTAACCGAATTTTCCGATATGAATTCGGATATTTATATCCATTTTTCAGCTCGCATTCAGCTATTTTATAAAAAAAATACTTGCATCGGTATCCTATTTGATATGTTTTTGTGGTTGAATTGCAAAATTTCCAAAATTTTGGTTTTTCAAATTGGATGCAGGTTTCTGGTTCAACCCGACCCAACCAACCACCCATGCAAAAAAATTAGCAATCAAATTGGATAAGCGATTATATATCATCAGAAACATTGAAATAATAACATGCCCAAAATCAATAATGTAGGATTATGTCTCATTGCATTAGCCATTAACTAATTGGAAAGGGTCGGGCTTGTTTCAAGCCATCAAATTTTATATTCAATTTGGAATATGTTTGGTCAATTCAGTCGACAAGCTAGTCTCTTTCTTCTATTTTTTGTTTTTTTTTTTTTTCATCAGGACCACTGCACTTCCTTAGGGCCCTGATTAGGATACAAGAACTAACTTCTGGGATCCATGGTGGTCCTGTAAAATAATTTTCAGGAAATGCTCAAATATGTCCCTTCACAATAAACTCATCTTATAGTCTTGCTAAGTTGTTTTTTTCTGTATGAGGTTACATTCATCTCATCCATTTATATCAATGATAAATGAGATAGGTTTCAAAAGAAAATGACAACAACTGACTGTTATTTTTCTAAAAAATGCTCTATATTAACTCCTTGATCATATCTTAAATGGTGATTTAGTTTTAATCTCATCTCTCACTAGCAACTTGGGTTAAAAATATGTGAACTTTTTTCGCCGCTCGTCTGTAAGAAAAATAGATTAAACAAATCTGTTTTGATCCACCAAAATGTTTGATCATTGATGCACCTAATCATTTACTCCTCCATGTCACTTTCACGGTATCAGTATTCCAAAATTATAATGAGAACTGAGGGTTATAATTTATATTATAATTCATGTTGGACCTATATCTAAATTGTTATAATACCACATTGAAGATCTTTTGCATTACACCAGAACTCTAGATGTTATAATAAGAATTGCGGGTTATAGTAGATTTATGATATTTTATAATTATTATTATTTGCAAAACTTTTTTTTTAATAACTTTTGATACCTCATCGATAATTTCTCCTCGACACGGGACAGAGAAAATCCACCAAACATTCTCTCGCCCTTTCCTGCTACATGGCATGTATACTTAAATGTCACCACCATATTTTGCACCTCAAACAGCACCCACACCTTACTACAAAGTGGGTCCCAGTATGAAGATCCACCATCATCATATCATATTACCATGCACCCTTTTGAGGTTCACGTGCACCGTTAAGGACCCGACTGACGAAATGGGCCCCGCTTCCAGACGGTACCCAGACTTGGTGGTCCCCCCGCTACGTGAAGGATGCATTTTGGTTTCCGAGGTTAACGGGCTCCGTGAAGGGGACCGTCTGATATTTATCGGGGGGATG